AAACTGGTCAAAAAGTTTACAATAGGTAATACGGATTGAAAAAGTTGTGCACGCCAGTTGAGAGTCTACTCTTTTTAACCTCACTTGTCATAGAAATGAGTTTTGACACACGAGCGCGCGCACATACACACACATACACTCGTGCAAAAATAGGGTTAGTGAACTATGAACATGAATACATATACATATACATTATACTTATATGGGAGCCCATTTTCTCCGAGCTGTCTTTATTTGCTTTCACAATCAAATGAACCATCAACGTTCGCGCATATCTGTCTATCTTTTTGGATTTTTTGAAGACCATATTCATAACAATAAATTATAAAAAAAATAATAATATGATACTCATTACTCAACAATATTTGACCAAGTCTTCGTATTTTTTTTTGAATTGCATTGATGACATGTATAATTCCGGTTTTGAACTGTTGTCTATAATGATTGAATTTCTCAATGACGCACTATTGTGCATAATATATAGAGTCAGCAACCTAATCTATCAGCAAACTTCAAAAACTAGAGTCTAGGGATTTTCCGTAACTAGAAATAGAAAATGCATGGATGGCTGTTTGCGGTCTAACCAAGACGATGAAAGGAGCATACTCGTACCTAGTCAAATGATACGGTCTTCGATTCGGTATATACTTAAGGTAGAAATCAAATCATGTGTAACCAATTTGTCGAAAGTTCATAAAAAATGTCTGAATTAAAAGATATACTATTTTAACAAAATATAAATTTTATCATGTTACTTATAATTTATAAAAATAAGTCAATAAATAATATCATGTAATTAACTTTTAATTATTATTTAATACGTTTAAAAGTACAATTCTATAAGATATTGCTTATTGTTATGCATTAGTTGATAATATAACATAATTATATTTATTATTCGTTCAACTTAATTTTTTTTATTCCGGTGTTAATTTGTTATGTACGTAAGTACATAGAAATTATACTGAAGTCAGAAAAGGCTGAATTATAGAAACTATATGCTGTAATTTAATCTAGAAAAAAGTATTTACTATCATAATTATAATTAACATTATGAGAACAAGAAAAAAAAGTGATTTAATATATAAGTTTTTAATTGTTTAATCAAAATAGATAACATAAAATTTAATACGTAAGACGTCCTTCACTCTTCTCAGTAATGTTATTTTTAAACATTTTTGATACCTTGATCGAAATTCTTATGATCTCCTATTTAGTTTATATATATATATTCAGTTTGGCTTTATTTAATATCAGCAACTTTTGATTGAGTTTACTCAATATTTTACTAAACGAAATGAACTAACTAGAAAAGTGTGTAGAATCTCTGTTTCTGCTATAGTTTGTTGCGTTTTTTCGAGAAAACAGACACATTATATAAGTGTATATATATATATATTATATGATAGTGAGTGACAGCGACATAGTCGCGGTTTCGAGATAAAGCGACAGACAGCGAGTGCCGGACGCTAAACAGAGACCTAACCTAGCTGTACACAAAATAATACGGTAGGGTGAATTCGTTCGTGACGCGGACGAGATATAGGGTCAGAGCCGGTGGACGGTCCGATCAATTAAAAAGCTCTTATATACACGTCGGATACGGTGGGCGCACGGAAGCGGGGAAGAGGTGGCAGTCCGGAGTTTATTAATATACCGGCGAGCACCACGTGTACACACATATAAGCATATAATATATATATATATATATATCGTATAAATGTACGAGCTTTACACCCCTCTACATTTGACCACTGCACCCTGCTACAATACTCGTCCAAAGTTCTCATGACAATCCGCTGCCGCCACCTTCACTACACCGAGTCTGGGAGATATCACCCCACGCACTAGTTTCACGTAAACCTACACTATAATGTGCGTAGGTACCAATATATATATATATATATATATACATATATTCCGCCAGGATGGTTTTGTTTTACAGCGACAGATTGAACGCTCTACTCGACTACTCCTTCCCGCCTGGTTCGTTACCCAGTCACAGCACGAACGGACGTCCGGTCGTACATACAGCTTGTCGCCTCTTGTCACACGCCTCCCCATAGACTATAGGAAACCACCTAAATTGTCTGAACCCGACGACTGAAGCCCTGCTGTATAATTATAATACTGTATTATAAACACCTATACCTACATTACTCGACATCACTGAGCGTTATTAACTATGACCTATACTTGAAAATGCAGTCCGAGGAAAAAAGCGTTTTCCCGTTAATGTATGAGCCTGAAATATATTACCAAACAGATCGTCCACGGCTGCGGTCACGCATAAATAATTTATTAACTTTTGAGAAAAAAAAAATTAAACGTTTTTAAATTTCCCCTCCGCCATTAAATTAGCTATGTCGACTTTTTATCTTCGTTCAGTGATGGTCATGGCGGCGGCAGTGTTAATCCTACAGGAGTTCTACTTTCAGACAGATTTGTTCAGTGTGCTACAGTAAACCATTAAAAGTTTTTTCATTTTCTAATACCTATCGACCGATTGTTTCTAACTAACAACACTGAATGCACGATAGTATACCTAATGTTGTTGAATAATGTTTTAATAGGTATTAGTTAATTATTTTTTTATAGGTAGACACGGACACATTTATATCTAATTTTATTTCTTAATTCCCTGATCTGTTCCTATTATATATTGTTGTTTCATATCTCTAGGATTAAAATTTTATTTAGGTCATATTTATACATATACAAATACACAACTAACATTATAGTAAGTTCAAACTGCAGTTAAGTTATTTTTCCATAAATATATAGTTTATGTTGTAATTTATAACGTTATAGGACGACATATATATAAGTCCGGTTTATATAACTTTTGCTACTTTATACAATTTTAATAATAATAACAGCTATTTTCAAAGTAATAAAATATAATGTTGAAAGTCAATTTTAATCACTGTTAAAATGTAAAAGTATATCTTCTAAATAAAGAAATATAAATAATAAAAGTTTTAAATTTTGAACTGTAAGATAAAAATTTATCTTTTTTTAATATATCAATACATAAATACAGATAATTTACGTCAATAATATATAATGTACCAACATAATAATTATCATGATAGGTGGTATATTAACTGAATAATTATTTATAACCAAACAATTGTATTCAATGTACTTAATACATTTAATCGTATAGTAATAATTATTACAAAACTAATGAATTCGTGACAAAAATATGACTGCAGGAATGAAACAAGACTAAATTTATATATATATATATATATTTAATCGAATAAACAATGCAAATGAATGGAATTTAATTTATAATTATTATCTAACAACCGGGTCATGATTATTTAAAACAAAATTATCTTTGTCTTAAATTCTTTTCAGTTTAGTGAAATACCTACGTATATTATTTACTGCAGTTTTAACTTTTATGTTGTATCTATCATGACATCTACCAGAATAGGTAGATATACTCCTTTTCGTGATTTTCAACTTTAATTGGATTAAGTTACATAATGTTGAAGTAAGTAAATTTCACCTTTTTAATAGATTGAAACTTCTAAATAATGTTTTTTAATACTCGTGGTAAAATTAATTTGATATTTAAATATTTAAATTGGTCAATTAATCAAATACTTATTTTAAATAAATAGGTTGGGTAGGTATGTATAAAATATAAATTTAAAAGATAATCTGTAACGATTATATTCCTATTAGAGTTTAATAATTAATAATGAATAAATCAGAAATAAAGAAAGATATGCATATATTTTTCTCATTGTAGAATTTTTCAAATAAAATGTCAATGTTACTTTCAGTTTCGATCACCTTAATTTAATGTATACTATATTGTTATAAACATTAGTTACATTATTGATTGAAATTTATTGATATTTATATTTTTATTAAGGTCATAGTTTGCAATTAATGATTGTTGAAATCTTAGAATAAATGTGAACTGAACATTTTATATTATTTCGTGAGAACCTATGAAAACTTTAGAACATTTTTAGATTTTTCGGTATGATTTGGTTATAATTTACAGAATTATAAAACTTGTAAATTCGATTAGATTTGGTTTTCAGTTTTCCAACTACCATAAACTAAATAAATTATATACTTTGTTTATAAAAAACTTTTAAAGTTTAAAGTATTATAAACGACATACAAAATTTACTTCACATAATATTATAGCTTTATATATTTTGAATACTATAATATAGTATATATATATACTATACTATAATACTATAATTCTATTCTTTAAAATTTTTCATATTTTATAAAAATAACTTATGTGATTATTCGTGTGTAGTTATAACGAGATAACGTGATATCTTGTTTGTCAATAAATTAAAATAAGTTATACCTACATTATTTTGGCTTTATTTTATTTTAATATGATATAAATAAATTTAACGGTATTTGGATGATAAAACAATTATTTTAGATGGTTGTTTGATGAAATTATTACCTGTAATAAATGTAATATTTAAATTTGTTTAAGCTATACATTACAAATATACAAACTATTTTTTCATAACTAACATTTATACACAATTCAATACTACATAATTGTATTTATGTAAATTATAAATTATCACGATTAAGATTAGAGTTTAAAAAACATCTTAACTTTTTTAGTTGGTAAAACATTTTTAACGAATATAAAATAAATATTATAATTTATAGTATCAATATAATTATATAATAATTACAACGATTTTATAATTTAGACTCTTAGACTTTAATATACATAAGAGTTATACTATCATAACTAAGTATTTTTATTATTTATAACGATTTTAAAAATGTAATTAATGAACTGACTAAAATACAATTTTATATTATAATATCTTATGTGATATAAAATGCTTAGAAAAAATAGATATTTCAGTATAGTAAGAAAATATTACTTAGGTAAGGTACTAAACTTATTCGTGTAATAATTATTACATTGATAGTAATGGTTGGACTTAAGTTTTTTTTTGAATTTTCAAAAACGTCTTTATTTCTAGACTTTTTATGCCTGTGGTAATATGCATAATATTATTAAAAGTTGCAAAAGTCAATTGTAAATGGAAAACATCAGCACCCTCGATACACAGCAGTCGCGTGCGACCAATTACAGAAGGTTTTACCAGTTCTTGCGCCGTTGTCGAAGAAGGCGTTCCAGTGTGCCAAGATCCCGAGGAAGCTGACGAGAATTTTCATATGCTGCAAGTTTACAGTTTCAAATCACATTACCTACCTATAGGTTTTAATAACCATGCTATTACTGACAATTAATTGTTTTTAATTTGCGATAGTTTGAGCGTTTTAAAAGACAGATTTTTAAAAGCTACCTACATTGTAATTTGTGTCGTGTTCAAAAGTCGAAGCTCGACTTAACTTAGGAGATTTCCTGATAGATCATGGTAAGCGAATACTATCATAATTACGACGGTCAATCAGAATACGATAAATATACAACAGACGATGTAGCTGTAAACACGACTTAACTCAAATTAGTCAACGATCGATGTTCTGTATACCCATATAATAACATAAAGTATATTTAGGTAGTGTGTATCTAATATAATATGTGTATAATAATTATTATTGATATGTATGTGTGTATATACCTATATCAAACTATGACATAATAATATATTATAATGACCATATATTATTATCATAAAATTATATTATAAATGGTATATATGTCAATGCGTGAACATATACTACATTACGCATGTATGATTTATCATGGACGTATAATTTATTAATACCTATGTTAAAATAATTATATTATTATAGATATTATCATAACCTATATAATATTGGTATTTGATGTATTTATAAATATAGATTATAAATACATTAGTATCATAATATAAGTATGATACATTGATACTTCGTATATGTATACACATATTGTATATTTTGATGTGAAAACTTTCAAGTTTGAGTATACAGACATCGTACAACTTTTACGTACGAGATAAAAATGTTAAAAAAAACACACACTCATACGTGTGGCCATGTAGGTAGCCGGGAGGAATAACTTTTAGTTTATTATATATATACACATATGTATATTATTATGCTTTTAACGTTTTTAAATAGGAACATAATGTGATAACAAAAACACTTTTTTATTTTAAAATTTTAAAACGATTCGAGTACCCACAAAGAAAGGAATATCCTATCTAACTTCACGTTTATTTTTGAAAATTATCTCTGGGTATTTGATACCAGTAAAATACGATTCCTCAAATTTTTGGAACTTTAAGGATTTTATCAACTATTTTTATACATGGATACAAGATTCCATTCGATTTTCAATGCAACGTTACCATAACGTTTGATTGCTCCCGTTATCATAAACTATAATAGTAAATTAATAATTGACGGATATTTTATCCAAATAAATAAAATTATGAACTTTGAAAATTGATAATGCTACCGTCATAAGCGAAGAAAAACTATATTTTGAATACAAAATTAAAGTTTACGAAATTTCCTAAATAATCTATGATAATTTTAGCGTAATAAATCTCTAGTCATAACTAAATAAATCTTAAGTCCAAGTCAAAATATCAAAAATGATAAGTCTAACATGTAAAGTTTAAATTAAAATATAATTTTCCGAAAGTCTTGTTTTAAAAACATAAGAATAGTCTATAGGCGTTACTGTAATATTATACTTGCTTTTACATATTTTTCGGTATTATAGCATTTTATTATACGTTTCATTTTTTTAAGCCATACGGAATCGTGTATAAATACGAATGGTTATTAAAATCGCGGTGTTGCGATCATCAAACAATTATACGATCGGTATGTATACCGTTTTTTCGTTTTCAGATCCGCGACGCGAACGCCGTACCCGGATAACTGGTTCGACGGGATTCGGGACGATTGGAAATCCACAGCGGGAGGCAGTAGTCGTCCTTTAAGCTGGTGGTGGCGTTTCGTCAGTGAACTGAAACGGAATCTCCAGAAAAAAGACAAAGTTTCGTCGACGACGATAACTGCACTTCGGAAAGACGCAACCCCGCTACCGGAAACAATAGTCACGTATTCGATTAAGGGTTGCAGCCCCACGGTAGTGCCGTTCGATTTGTCGGCTTGCAGCAACTTACCACCGGATGCGCTGCAGTATGTCAGTACCACACGAGTAATCTACTACGTGCCACCGTCGTCGCGGATTGACAGATACGACCAATCCGATTTTGACCCATGATTGATGTCTGTGAATCATAACATAATTTATTAATAATATTAAAATTACTTTTACCGAATATACTATAATACAGTTATTTGATAACATTTAAATACCTATTATATTTTACTATGAACTTAATACAATATTGTTGATATTAATAATATTCTGTATATTTTATAGAAATCACTGAAATATTGAGTTATTTGATTACTATATTTGGTAAAAAATCATTCGACAACTATAATTTTAAATATTCACAAAAACAGAAATGTATTGTAGCTAAATAATAAAATATCTCAACCATAATTATAGCTTATAAGGTAAAGATTATATGATTGGTGGTATGTATAATAATAAAGAAGTAGAAAACTTTAATGTTTAATTATAAGCACGCATAGGTCATCTTTATAGGTGAAGCAATACTGTAACAAATTGGGGCTCCAGAGGTCCAAGCCCCTCCTCGATTTTTTTTCCGTTTTTATGGCATTGAGATAAAACAACGATCTTTTAAATTAATACCCACACAAAATATAGATGTGATTATATTAAACCATTTAGTTTTTAATACGCTCTTTTTAAAAATAATAAAATATAATAGTAAACATTTTTTTCACACTTAAGTTACATCATCAGGTTTGAGGTTACGCCGGTTACGGTATATATCTATTTGACATTGTTACACAGTTATTATTTATACATATATACATAAACATACGAGTAACCGCAATGCTGAAACTGGCTTATTATCATTGAAAAATATAAACATATTTAATAGTATTTTATTAGCATAATACAAATTAAAAAATATTTTTTCAAAAGTTATCAAATACTTTAAAAGAAGATCTTGAGGCCGAAAAACCTCACATGGGAGGGAGCTCCACAAGTGCGCACGCTTAGTACCTACAGTATTGATATAACGTATAAATTTAAAAAGAAAATAATTAAAATATCATTGAACATTACAATATGATTTTAAAAGAGTACATTTTTCGATTCATTTAAGAATAATAATCAAAAAAAGTCATCTGAAACTTAAATATTAGTATACGTTCTGAATTATGCTGGTTTAACTAGTTAGTCATTTAAAACAAAACACACATTGTTCGTTCCAGTCAATTTTCGTGATTTTTAAAACAAATGTTTGAATATCATTTGAAGTAGACTGATGTATAAAACACAAGTACTCATAACAATTTAATTTTACAAAAAATACAAAAAAATTTACGAATATTGTAAACATAAAACCAATTGACAGGGATAAAAATAAATTGTGTTGAAAAATACAACATACCAGACACTATCTACCCACTATTTCAACAATATTGTATAGTTTTAACATATTTAGTTCGGTTTTATTATATCATATTTAGAATATTTATTTTGTGTGTCTACATTAATGGTTGGTATAATAAATATTAAAAATTATTTTTGAGTAGACTATTATTTTAATTATTAAAAACAACGTTAAAAAAAAATGTTTTACTCTTCTAATAGATCCCTTTGTTTATCTACACATATAATACTATACAAACGATATACTTTTGATAAATACAAAACTCTATTTGTTTTTATTTAGGGAATTAAAAGTAGGTAATCATTTTAATTGTTTTTTATGAGTTCTTTTAGATTTTATTTTCAAACATTTATGTATGCTATTAGTAGTATAGGCGTATAGCCTATAACCAATGGCAACCGTTTAAATAAATTAAAAAATAATCGAAGTCTATGTGCCAAAACTTAATTTATGTGTTAATCATTCTATAGAAACATATAAGAGTTAAAATAATTTAAACTACTAACACTCTCTGAGTCTCGAGGAATCTATTAATATAACTTTGATTCAAAACGATAAAGTCATTCAAAAGTTACACGATCTCAACAGACTCACAGCAAAATGTATTGTTATATACTATTTATACATAAATATATATACATATATAATATGAATATGAAGATGAATGTATTCAAAATACAGGTATACTCAATGGCCAATGCCAATACAAACATATTGTTAGGCGTAATAATATATTTATTATTATAATATTATCATTATCTAGTTGAAAAAATTATTTTAGTGTAAACATCGTAGCATTTTCAAGTTAGTTTAATTATTATATTTCAGCGAATTTTAATAGTACATCTATAATTACACGGCTTTCTAGATATGCCACTAGAAATACACAAAATATTTGTACTTGTATTGTTATTATTTTTTATTCGTTTCGAAAACTGCTTTCTAAATTTTACAAAACTATTGCAATATTAAAACTAAACAAAATTGATTCTACTGAACGCAAATTATTAAAACTATATTATGCACTTGTACAGTTGTACGTTTGTAAGATAAATACTACACTTGTAAACATGCGAGCGCGTAACGTCCTCTTAAATCTCACGGAAACATTATTGCACTAAGACACTGCAGATTGGTGGTCGGGAATCGGGAGGTTTAGATGATAGGTACATGTCGTATAAACGGCTTATGGTCCATTGAATTGACTCTATTTCATTACATAGGTCTGTTTTTCCCCCTATATCATTGAAAACACATTCGCCATTAGGCGATATTTAAATTTTATTATAAAAACGAACACCAATTGTATATTATATACAAAATGTTGCACGTGAAATAAAACTATTGAGTCTATAACCAAGAATAAGAAACTACATTTATATGCAAAACGATAAAATTTCAATGTTTTCTGTGTTTTGTTTAAATAGGTGATTAAAAAAATAAAAAATTATGATTTTATTGTTTTAAAATTCATTATTTGAATGTTTTTCAAACTCGCGTATTAACTATATAATAAAATAAATGATTAAAAACAAAAAAATGTAGGTATTACACAGTGAAATCGTTTCCTGTATCGATAAAATGTTGATATCTTTAACATGATTTTAGCCTGAGTGGTTATTGTTTTGCGCACAATTTTATTAATTCGTATCATAATTAAGCAACAATAGTATAATGACGTTGGACCGCTTAAAACAAATTTTGAATTCATGTTCAAAAACGTTAACCTTTCAGTTTTTAACTTTTTTCGACATTTTATTAAACTATCGTGTTGACATTATATCAATCAATATTTTGTAATGGGATATCAACTAGACCTGCTCTATATTCATTCGTACACATACATAAACGTGGCAATATTTCTTTTTACACACACTTACTTTAGAATATTACCTACGCTCTAACCAGAGACGGATCCAGGGGAGCCTAGCCCCCCAGACATATTATTTCTCGATTTTTTTTTTTTTTTTTATAATTCTATAGATCCTTTTATTACTATATTTCAAATCACATAAATGTATATCTGATAATAAAATATATATTACAAGGTGAATGTATGTATATCGGAAAAAACGAAAATGTAAATAGATGTTTAGATTTTATTACCTATTTTATTTATAATTAGATATTTTATTATATTAAATAATCATTAATTTATTTATTACAATTGATTATCTATACTTACTATTATGACAATAATTTTAAATTATGAACAAAGTACCTATTAAAAAATTGTTAGGACCCCTCACCCCAGGTCTTTGCTCTGGACTGGTTTTAACTTACCTTGAATTACCTACCTAAAAAAAAAAAAAAACCGTAAGAATTAACAACGCAATTACCATGAGTACTTACGTGAAATGCTTGATTCCCGTGAAAATCTAGCAAGTAAATTACAATTTTTAAAATAAACCCGAAAAGTAAAAATAAAATTTATATTGTCAACGATTTAAAGTCCCGGTCTTAAACACAAATTGTGTAAGTATTCATTTATTTATAAAAATGAATACGCTTATTATTTGATGATCTATAAATTAAAATGTTTATTGTTTATTCAATAAAGTATTAAATGTAATCTTATTAAACAAATTTTATTGGTTATTTGTTTTAATATTACATATTTACTTAGATTCGATTTTTATATTATTATTTTGCATCATTTACAATATTTTGTTTTAATTATTCGAGTGTATTTGGATCATAATAGAAGCGCCATCTACCGGTGACTTTAAATCCGTGTTACTCTATGCTGGCGCGTCCTTATTTTATCACAGACAGCGCTGTTGTATATAATTTTATTTTATTTTAGATTCCGATCAAGATCTGTTTAAAATGGATGATTCCCCTTTTTTTTTTTTTCAATATAAATTTATGCTTATTAATTATTATACTTCAATAAAAATAATTTTCTATACAATATATTTTATAATTAGGGCTCTGAAGTTGTAAGAATTGCATATTGTTCTATATGCTCTTAATTTATAGCAGACCAATCTAGAAATCTGAAATGAACAATGGAAAGTTAAAAAATCAAAAATGCATATTTTGCATATTTCATATTTTTCTAAAAACTTTGGAGCTCTAAGTATAAATATTGTATTTATTAGTCTTATGCAAACATAATTAACGAAAAAAGCAAGCGGATGTTTTAAATATTTAAACATTATATTATTATTATTAATAATACTTAATAAATAATAAGTAATAACTAAAGCGCGGATTTGTATGCATTTGAATATTTATTCTGATTGATCAAGTGATATGCTAAGTGAGCACAACATTTTAGCGCATATTTCAACATTTTTTTTTTTTTTTAAAGGCTTATTTAACAATATTGTAATTGCATATTTCATCTTTTAGTACATATTTTGATGTTTTTTTAGACATTTTTTAAATATATTATACTATTGCAGTCTATTATAATATAGGAAAAAAATATTATATTCATATAGTTTCGATTAATATCAAAACAGGTATGAACGGTTTTTCCAAATATGACCTTAGATCAATAATCGGAGAAATAATACATTAAGATTAATCTTATCAAGATAAGAAATTAGCGATTTCGACCATAATTGAACACAGACATTATTTCATTATTGTTCAAAAAATAATTTTTTATTTTTCGTGCATATTTTAACAATTTAGTGCATATATTCATACATATTTAGGATTTTTTAGCGCATATTTGGTTGGTTTTTAATGCATTTAAATCCGTACTCTGGTAACAACCCCGAAGGAATTAATTTTTCTGATACCGACCGACCGACAATCGATAAGTCTAAAGATACATAACTGGTCAAACTACCGTAAAC